CTGTTAAGATAGGAAGAAAAATAACTACCATCATTTTGCAAAGCTGAGCAATAAAGCAGAAGTAAAGCTAAGCCTACTGACCCCAGGCTTTTCTGAAGATCTTTTATCAAGAACTTAAAAGCAGGGATGATGTTTATTGACCAAAACTAGCTGATTCTGTCTGCAGAATTTAATGCTAGAGGATTAGATCTAATACAATCCAATACTAGAAAGAGGTAATTTTAGTAGTGCTAGTTCCTCTCTTCACTCTAAAGTATTTTTTTAGTCTGAAATAAAAATATTATCCTTTGAGCTGAATCTGCTCAGGTCAATTCCTAAAGGGCATGTCAAATAATGTAATTTTTTTGTGTGTGTGTGTCTGTGTGTGTGTGTACAATAAGCACATAAAAACAACATTCTCAGGAAAATACTCTGAAGAGCTAATTATTGTTTTCCAGCACAACTCAAAGCCACCTTCTGTTTTTGTTTTTTTTTTTAATCCCAATTTAGCTTGAACTTGAATTTCAAACAGGAAGTCTGTCTTTGACACTGGAAAATCTCAAGCAAACACACTGAAATAATATATATTGTAAAATGTGTTAGTTTAAGTAATCTTTCCAATCCATGCACAGAAGAGACTTCTCAGAGAAAGAATGGAATTATGTGTTGCAACTTATACCACAGATCAGCTATTTCGTTAAATTTCCAGGAAAGTAACCCACAAGCTCCAAGTGAAAGTGGGTCCTGCAGCATCCACAACTTGGAAGTGATATTCCAGGCTGGAGCAAAGGGAATTACATGAGCAACTCAGCCAAGCAGGCAATTTCCAGTGCCAACAACACTGGAGATTGAAAAGCAGAGACAGTTTTGGAGTCATTCTTTGATGAGTGCACTAAGGCAGGACACGTGTTTTTGTGTTTGTCCTGCAACACATTTGATTTATGTGCAGGTAGGGAACAAATAACAAAAACTAAAATCATGAAAAAGCTGAGGAGAAAGAGAAGCTGCTGTGCATAGTGAGCCTGATGTATCTTATGATGTCATCTAGGAGAGATGCTCCAGCCCTCTGATCATTTTCTTGACCCTCCTCTGGACCAGTTTTAACAGGTCAATGCATTTAGAAACAATTCCCCCAAATCCTTTTTGGCTGTTCAAAGTGTTATCTGTTAAAATCTCCTGGGCATGCTGGAAAATCAGCATATGTTCAAAGTCATCCTTGTAATGTCATTAGCAAGTTTCCCTGGCTTCGTGGCCTTCTGTTCAGTCCTACCATAATACAGATTTTGTACTTCATTTTTTCCTGATTCTCCAAAACTGGATTTTCAAATTCAAAAATACAGTAAGAGAACAAACTAGATTAAAAAAAAAAAAGGAGGAAAATAGAAGTATGAAAAGAGGAGAAAGGTCAATTAAGAAAAAAAAAAGGAGGGAAATGACCGGGTTGGCAATGTTCATAGGCTTTGTAAACTGACTATTCGGCCCCTCTTCCCTTAATTTTCTAAGTTACCCTAAAAAAGTTTAGCAAAATAGAAATCTCACTTCATGATATTGCATGACTGGGCAATAAGAGGACAGATGAGACTGAACATAAATTTATGCAGAGTAATTCAAGTGCTGGAAAAAACACACCAACTGTAGATACAGTGATGGGTTCTGAGCAAGGTATTACCATACAGGAAAGAGTTGATAGAATTATATTAGGAAATTTTATGACAATGCCATCTCATTGTTCAGTCACACAGTTAGAAATGAAAACACAATAATCCACAACACCAGAAAGGAAAAGAGAACTAGGAAATCTCATTTGCCGGGGAATAAATCTGTGGTGTTCTGAGATCGTGTGCAGGTCTGGTCTCATCATTTCTAAAAGGATACAAAGAGGTACAAAGAGTGACATAGGTGATCAAAGGCATTTAAGGACTTCTGAACAGTCTTCAGCCTTAAAAATATCTTAAAGGCAGATATGGGACGAGCCTATAAATTCTTAAGCAGAACGAAGATGAAAATCACTTCCCTCTTCCAGTATTAGGAAATACCAAATGAAATGAGCAGGTGACAGGTTCAAAATAAGCACAGTCCTCCCCACCATCCCTGTCACATTGTGGAACTCTGTGTCTGCACTCAAAATTTGCACAGATCCAAAAGGCAATTTAAGAACTAAGAAATTAAACCCCTATGTATTTAATACAAAGTAATGCTGTGGCTGCAGGAGCCCTTGGAGTGCCTGCCAGAGACAGCTGAGAAAATAAGCATATCCAGTTATCACCAGCATTTCATCTCTTCCACAGAGTTAAACCTGGCCCTGGTAAAACCTCAAGACCCTCCCTGAGAAGGGGAGAGGGAGTTTAGCAGAAACAAAACATGAGAGGAAACAACTAATTACCAAAAAGAACGAATGGAAACGAAATCAAGCAGAGGGATTTAAGGGTCAGAAGAGCAAAAAATACGAAAGTGGGTGAGTGAAGGGCAGATAAAGCACCAGGACCATGAGTTGTGTCATCTGAGATGGTCCAGGCCTTCCTGTGTGCCCACATAGAGTCAGAAAAAAAGAGAGAACATATTTCAGGGGATGACTCAGCAAGCCAACGTGCCTCTATTAGCACAACACTTGAGCATGTGCTTGGTGTAACCATAAGGTCCATGGAAGTTAATGATGTTAATGTAAGATAAATTTTCCATCAGACAGGCACAGGAAGTTTTATGTAAAGCAGAAAGATAAAATCTGAACTCGCTGAAGGGCAAGTTGATCTGAAAAGATGAACCAGAGATAGACCAGAGTGGCACAGACCTAATAGGGCATGACAGAACAGAAAATTAAGAGGTAAGAATCAATGCTACACACAAAAACATGGAGCAAAAGCAGGAGAAGGGAATGTATCTCAGGCTTGAGAGGGAGATGAGATGAAGGGAAGCTGGACCATACAAGTATTCTGGTGTTTATCCCAAGTTGTAATCTAATGACAGCAGAAGACAGAGAACAAAATAAGTGGAAAGGGAGCCCTGTGCCATGGACATGAAAGAATGGACAGGAAAGTTTGGCAGCAGCAGCAAGAACGACAGTGGAGGTCAAAGTCAATGCCAGATCTGTCTCTTATTTTCTCTAGAAACGAGTAAAATATTAAGACAAGGAGGAAGGAGAAGGTTGGGTAGGCTGAGGGAGCTGCAAAGTAGTGGAAGGTACTGGAAGTAGCCCTCTAGAAAAACCTAAACTGTTGGGGACCACTCCCTTTCACAACAAAACGGACAGCCAGCAAAAACTTCTAAAATTCCTTCTTGAAAGGAACACTTTTAACCATTCTGCTGTTTACTACAGATTTTGTAAACACTCAAGATATTCAAGAGTTGATAAATTGTCCATTTAAAATGAACAAAAATTTATTAAAAATTAAATTAGATCTTCCCTTTTTTCTTTTTTCTTTTTTTTTTTAAATTGCCAAGAAGCTAAAAAAACCTTTAACTTGCTACATTTCTGTATCTCAAAGATGCTCCTGCAAATATTTAGCTCGAACCACCAAGATCACCTTTTCCCAAACTGCACGCTACCAGGAAATTGGAAGCAATTTCTGACTGAAAAGTCAGAAAATTAAGCCCTTTTTTTTGGGAATGAAAATGATGAAGAGACCATGCACAGAAACCGTGTGTAGCCCCCATCCTTGCCAGCAATATCCCCAAGCACTTCTCTTCCCACACCAGTAGATGAATAAAATGGATATTATTTAGAAGGATAACCATATGGTTTGTATAACTTGTACATGCTATTTTCAGGACATTATTATAAGACATGGTACAGACCTACACAACAGGGTCAAAACTTGCTTTCTGTTTTATAACCACCCTCCTCCTTTTGGGTGCAGAGACAAGAGGTGATGGCACTACATCAATATATCACTTCCACACACTGTTCCTACCTTAATACTCGCAGAATAATGCAATTATTCCGTGTGGGACACATTATTGGGTTGCTGAGCTCAAATAAATATTTATCAGCCCTGCTGATAATTATTTGCTAGTAAATATTTGTTTAAATTGTGAAGTCCTGACTTTTCTTTTTTTTTTTTTTTTTATATATTCCATTTCAGCCTACATGCATCTGTCTGCTTTGTGCCTTCCCAGGGCGGAATGCTGTAATATGTACCAAAAAAAAAAAAAAGAGACAGGGAAAAAAATGCAAATACATCCACAGAAAACTTGAAATCTGTTCCCCTTAAACTGTGTCCTTTCTCTCTCCAACTCCTTCATTCCCTCTCACCCTTTTTTTTTGTTAATGAAGTATCAGAAGCCACTTTTATTCTAAATTAAGGTACCTGCAGTGCTGCAGGAACAGCACCGAGCAGGGTTTTTATCTGGATACAGTGCCTGCTTTCCAATTTTCACTGTCATTTTTTTTTTAAAGCATACACAAAACATTGCAGAAGCACATGTAAATCACCACTCTCTTGCCCAGTGGAACAGAATTTCAGCTCCCAATGCCAAGGCTTGCCTACAGAAGGCATCTACATCTGGTCTGCTACATCCAAGGCAGCAACCACGGGCACACGGTTTGCTTTGTTTGGAATTCATCACTGTGGTGCAGCTGAGCCTCAGATTAAAAAAAAAACAGCACAACTATGAGCCTCCAGGGTTAAACAGACAAATGTTTTCAGTCACAACAACTTTTTTTTTTTTGGGGGGGGGGGGATGGGGAAGAAGGAAAGCCGTAACAATGTATGGAAGAGGTTTTATGTAAATCATTAAAGGCCTACTGACTTAAATTGTTGCTATCACCCAGAAGTTGCTTAATGTACACTTGGGAGTGTGAAGGCAGAACAGATGAATAGTCTCACAAATCCTATTTGCTCCGTTGGAAAAATGCAAAAATATTTGTGAAAAACAACGATTCCAGCTCGTTGCCATTCCAATTTAAAAGTCAAATTAATATTCATGATTTCTGAGAGCATGGTGGTTTTTACTGGGAGGCAGAAGGGGCAGATACAATCAGTAAACAAATGTGCTTTCAGATGCACACAGAAAGCAGTACCTACCTAGCCACTCGTTGAATTTTTTTACTTCACTAGGAAGTCCCAGCTCAGTAAAATCACCAGCATGTATTAACACATCTCCATATGGCATTTGGATGGGATCAGTTCTTGAGTGAGTATCAGAAATACAGACAAATCGTGTATATCCTGGAGGTTTGGGAGCGTCGTGGGGCACCGGATCAACCCTGCAGGAAAGGCATCGTAACAAGGTTAGGAAGTATTTACGTACTTTGTAGTGTCTGCTTCGCTATTCCAACGCTGTTTTTTCTACCTTTACAAAAGATTACACAGGCCTCTGAATCTGCCTGATGGAAGGATTTATTAAAACAAAGCTAACACTAACAGGAGGTGTAAAAATTCTTGATGTTCACAGCACAGCATTTTCGGTGTTTTTTGGTAGATAGATTAACTTCAAGAGATTAAGGAGAAGAGATTGGACTATGGCAGTAACTCTGACACAAATACTTACAAATAAATCAAAGGCATTGCCAGTTTCAAAGGAATAGCACTATCCCATTTCATTGTTTAAACATGATTACACGGTACACAGGGAAGAGATTTCTTTGAGATACATAAATACATTTAAATGTGTTTTTTCTAATTAGAACTTTTTTTCCCCCCCCTGCAAGTTACATAATTCCAGCAAATTTAATTAACACGTTTTGGAGATATGTTTGAGTGTGTTAATGCAGAACAACACGAGAACTCTCCCAACAGCTGTAAATGTACATTAAAGCCTCACTATTGTCAGGACAAATGTGGTGACTTTCTGGGCTTAATTATACTAAATGAAATGAAATGCTGCGAGGGGTGAGGCTGCATTGTTCAGAGCCCAAAATCAAGATTCAAAACTGAGGGAATGCAAAGATCTGACCCAGTTTGATGAGACTTACTCATGATTTAGGAGAGGAAAGCAGAGAACACCTTATTTTCAAATCAATCTTTTTAACCTCAATCCATATTTTGTTGGACTACATAGAAGCAAATGTATCCATATACAGCTATACTGTATCTGTTATCCCAGTTAGGGAACTCTGGTGGAATAAAATCCAAAAGCCAGAGGTGCAAGAGTTATATTTGTGCCACTAGAAACCAGAGAGATATACAGAGTTGTTGTGAACTATTTTACTTTTGCAACATTTATTTTGAAAGGACAAATAAAATTAGTTTTGTTCACTGTTGCTGTATATAACACACATTTCTATCCCTTGCTGGTTGTGCTTCAATTTAGGAGCTTACTTTTACATAAACAAACTCAGAAAAAAAAAAATAATATATTTTTGCTATTAATAGTACTACATCTGTTCCTAAGTAAATTTTTTAAAAGTATTTTATTTCTTAAAAGTCATAAGATAATAATCTTTAATCACTCCATCTTTTCCCTATGCCAAAGAATTCTGTGAAATTTAGAGGCGTTTTCGACAACCACACGGGATTGGTGAGAGAGTGAGGAATAAATCTAAAACATTCAAATCTTGTTAAATACAAAAAAAAAAAGCTCTTAGCATCTTCTACGCTGTAACTACAAAACTAGAGCATGAACAAATTCTTTTGCACCCATACCTTTATAGGAAGAAGGAATGCTGGGGTTTTTTTACAGCAATACTGGAGAAACAGCCTTTTAGTGCCAGCACCTTGTAGTTGTCTTTCTGAAGTTCCAGTTTTTGAACAGAAAAGTACTGAAATGTGAGGTGAGGAGCAAAACCAGCTGGGATCAAATCCCACCTAATGAATACCCAGATATGTAAGCAAGGACCTAGTGGGAACTGCAAAACTTGGCTGACAGAGAGTGTTTGGAATGTTTGGACCCTGAAAATACTTGTAGGGTTGAGGGAGTGTGTGTGCTGCAAGAGGACCACAGAGGCCAGGTGAAGAAAAAGAGTTTGATGGTAAAAATGCCTCTGTTTGGGAGAAGAACAGAAGAACAGAGCTGCCACAAGGGGTGGAGGGGGGAGGTAAGAGGGGTGCAAAGGAATACGGGTGGTGAATGGTGGGGTTTAGACTGGGGAGGCTTTGCCATAAGGTGTGAGCTGTGTGAAGGGTAATACATTCACTTCACACAATTCTGCCACAAAATGAACTGGGTAAAACCCACAGAATCACAGGATGTGCTGAGCTGGAAAGGACCCACAAGAATCACCAAGTCCATGCACAGGACCATCACCAAGAGTCAAAGGACGAGGAGCTGACCCTGCCTACCTTTGCAGCTGTTCAAGCTGAAAGGATTAAACACCAGCTCAGCAGACACAAATTATTGCTCTCCCTGCCCAAGACCTCCCCAAGTGAGTTACAGGTTGAATTAGTAAGCCAGCTCTAAATTATGCATATTACCCTGGCACTACATAAGGGTTGGTCCAGTCTAACACATGGACTGGTCTAAAATATTACTTTTTGACCTTTCATGGCAGAGCAGCCTTCAAAGCAGGTACTGCTTCTCCTTCAGAATCCTTTCAGAGCTCGGCCCAGCAGTAAGTTGGGTGTTAGGGAGTATCAGGCACCTCACATGAGAAGCTGAATGTTAAAAACAACAGACATGCCATGGAAATCCCATGTAGCACATAATGCATGTGCTTTTTTCCTATAGTTTGGATGGGCATGGGGAAGATGTGGACAGCAGAGGTTATGTGCAACTTTTAAATTCTGTGCAATAGGCCAGAGAATTTTCATGGGAAAACAACATCAATGCAAAAAAAAAAAAAAAGGCAAATAAATGAGATGCAGGTTTTTCATCTTGAAGTGATATGCACACACTGAGACCGTATATAGGTAAAAACATATGTCAAGTTTCACAAACACATCTAAGTTGTATTACTGGAAATAATTTCTGAAGGCTCAATCCCCATATTCTCGTGTAACATGTTCCCACAGCAGCTGTCACACCAACACCCAATGCACAGCTTGCAGCGTGAGCAGAGGAATACAGATCTGCTGATTATTTTTTGTGCAAATGCTTTTGTTTTTTCTTTAAATCAGCACGAAAACTTGCGAGAGAAATTGAAAAGCTGAGCTGAAAAATCTCAGAGCAAAAAAAACACTTCCAGAGGTTGGTTTGTACGCCGGATTTCAGTGGTTACACAAAGGGGCAAGACAAGGACTTTCCAGAAATGACTGATGGGCTTGAAAACACTGGTAGAATTTACCACCCTTCTCGTCAGTGGCAACCCAGCCATCTCATAAGCACAGGGATGCCAGATTGTGACAGGTCTAGAAAAGTCCTGAAGGAGCTAAAACGTGAAAGGAGAAATGTCAGACTTCACAGAGGACCAAGGAAGATCTGCAGGACTGAAGGCAGAAGAAAAGGAGGACCCCCGTGGTTAAAACAGTTTACTGTGGGCTCAGATGTTAACAGGTCTGTGTGAAATCTCTCTGTGGTTGCCTAAAACATCACTAATGTAGGTGTTTGGAACTATGCACAAAGCCTTCACCTCCCTGAAGTTAAGGACAAAACCTGAGTTCACGGAAACAGAGCTTTCACCCACGACAATCATGGGAATAAAAGGTGCTTTTGTTACCCTTTCTATGTCTCCTTCTCCCTTCTTTGTTACCATTCTATTCATTGGTAGGAGGCAAAAGCAATCCTGCTGGTATTCAAGAAACATTTACAATTTCTGTATGAGGAGGAAGAGTAGGTCAGATTGTGGTACATGTTCCAATTGATTTGGCCTGTTTTCCTATTTGCACAAGCTTCTCCAATAGTATTAATCATTCATGAGAGACTGCTAAACTCTTCTGAGGAACCATTTTCTAAGGACAGCTTATTTTCAACTATTTGCTCAGGTGCTGAATTTCTATCATGTAGTTGATTGTCCAAGCCCTCCAGTACCATAATTTCTTAGTGGTTAGAAGTTTAAACAGCATATTGTTGAGTACCAAGTGGATACAAATAAATAACTTGCTTACAGCCCAGTAAAAAACATTTGGCTTTTAAGACCAGGAAACAAATTTCTGAGTGCCCAGGAGCTGTCTGACTATTCACAGAAAACAGCTAAGCCTCATCAAATCAACCTGCATCTGGCATTTTCATTTGTAAAAGTATTTCTGAACCTATATTTGTTTGTTTGTACTTTTGCTACCATTTGCCAGCTCTATAAACTAAAGATGTTTGTATGTAGCTGTAATACAACTAACCAGTGCTAACATTCAACCCACTTTACTGTTTGCATTTCAGTGGGATCTAAAAAACCCCATCACAGACCATAATACACTGCCCACAAAAACTGAGTGTTTGCTCACCATCCTGATACACACGTTAGTCTTCTGATTCTTTTTACATAATCTAATTTATGCCAAATAACGTTCATAAGCATTCACTAAAGTGACACATAGCATTCAGTGCTTAGTTTTTTAGCTGCAGAAATCATAACCTAATTTGTAAATTATTAAATCATATTAAACACCAAAAATGTGAACAAGATGATTATTTGTTCAGTCTTCCTAAAGGAAAGAAGTTCCCTTTAAAAACCGAAAAAACAGCCTTCTGATCTAAAGATAAGGCTGCTTCTCTCTTTAATAAACACAGTAAAATGGTGCAGACATTTTTATTCCCTATAAAAATATTTTACAGTAGAATTTTATACTTAATTTATTTGTAATAGCTTTTACTGTTTTGCTCTTCCTTCTGGCTCTAAACTTTATGGCAGGTTTCATTTTGTAATTATAATTCTCCACTTTACGTTACAAGTAAATCATCTAGAGCAGTTAATTTCACTGATGTTGTCATTATATAAGAAGTCAGAAACAAACACAGTATTTTAATCACTCTTTAAGCACTTGGCATTTTCGGCACATCGGAATGAGAGTAAGTTGTCGGATGGGTGCCCACACTATTTTATTTATTGAGATGATTTTTCCCTTGTATGTAGCTGTAATATAACCAACCAAACAGTATGTGTTGGACAGACAGGGGCTGGGGTATTTCCAAGAGCTCTGTGCATCAATATGCAACTGCACAGAGCAAACAAACATTATTAAGATCGCAGAAAGTATCACCCTTGTAGCATCTCGTGTTTTATTGCCACTGCTCACCGTTCATTTCTCTTTTTAATACCTAAGCATAATGTATTACACTAGTGGAGCAATCTTTCTCCCCTCCTTTAACAAACTGCCTTGCAAATGGGCTGGTTTTGTATCGTTTCAGTAATTATTATTAGAAAGGCAGCAGTTCCTCGAATTCCTCCTGACTGGTCCAACACAGCAAGAACACCCAGGGAGGCCGGGCTGGAGCAGGGACAGAACTGTAATACTCACATCTGCACGTGTGGTGGCTGGAAACGTCCCTGGTTGATGTTGTAGAAGGTGAAAGCCTGCGTGGGGTTGGAGCTGTACTCGTCCACCTCGATGATGAGCCTGCTGTGCTGGTGCCTGCGGGCTGCCATGATGTGCGACTGGGCGAAGGCCATGCTTGCAGCGCGGGGCTCGGCCTCCTCAGGGGATCATGTCTGCTATCTCCCTACGTCCATGGGAGAGCACCAGGACATCTCACCCCAACAGCACAGCCCCCTCGGAAACACCTGAAAGCAGATGGGAGAGATGGAGAGTAACTGTTGGGCTGCCTGGGATTCGCTTTGTTTAACACGACGAAGGTGACGGGGAGACATGGAGGACAAAGACTCCTCCAAGGACTCATCACAGAGCTTTCCAACCCAGCAACTGGAGGAACATGCTTTAGTTGGGGAGCATGGATTGAAAGTAAACTTGCTAAAGAACTTGCTCAAATACTTTAAACATTTAATACAAACCTAAAAGACAAGATAGGCATTCAGAAAGGCGCATCGAGTGTTTCTCCAACACTACCACTGACTTCCTTATTTATTACACTGATGAATGTTTGTTCCCCATCCTCCCTCAAAAAAACCCCACAGAACCTGAAAGTGACTGTGCACAACAAAAGTGCAAGTTAATTAAACAAGAACCAGTTCAACCCTGAGATTAGCTCAGTGCTGATGCTGCCAAGGTGTGGGTTCAATCCCTGGGGGGGCCATTCACTGAAGACCTGGACTTTAAATCCCTTCCAACTCAGAATATCCTGTGATTTTGTGATTCTGTGAACCAAATCTTCCCAAAGTCTGCGACATTTATTGCAAGGAATCATTGCAAGTGGTTGTTCTTTACACCAAAAAAACCAGAATAAATGGCCTTCTCTGCACTTGCTCCTGGTTTTACAGTGTCACTGAGGGAACTCCTGGCACAAGTATGAAAGCCTCCCCCCTTCAAACACTTTTCAGTCAGCACTAGCCCAGCGTTCTGGGTGCACTGGAAAACAAAGTGATTCCAAGGCTAACACACAGTTAAATGTTACTAAATATTAAAAATGTAAAATCCATACAGGTTTTATGTTTGGGAATAAATTTTTCCCTGAGGGTTATGCGAGTCTAGAACAGCAGCACTGAAAATGGGTAGAGAAAGAGCCAAGTGAAACCAACTGGAATGCAAAGAGTATCCCCTAGAAACAGCAGAAAGTAATTTGAATGTGAATTTTACTTTTATTTCCCAGCTTTAATAAAAAATGGATTATAAGCTATAAAGGTGGGTATTTTTATAGTATAATTTTACATCCTTTTTAAAAGTTGTCTGACTTAAATATTTGCTTTCATGCAAGCAAGGGCTCTTTTCTTCTAGGGAATACAAGCAATCTGCTTCAGAAGATGTATTTCATAAAAAACCACGCTAGAATGCAGCAATTCACTTAATCTGTGCAGTTTCTGGAAAGCAGGACTGGAAGTATTTTCTGTGACCTTGCTGATGTGCCTCACTTCCATTCTGAGGGGACCACTGCCAAGAGTGATGGATGAGGGAGGCCTTCATAGTCACTCGAAGTTTTAAAGCTATTTACAGGTACTTAGGTCCAATTCAGTTTTAGCGGCAGTCAAGCACCTAAACATCTTTATAAAACTGGGCTTCGGTCCTCTGCTTAGCTACTAACAGAGGCTGAGTGCTCCAAGAAGTGGTGGCGAGTTTTTGTTTGGGGAAATCTTGTTCCCGGGGAGCTGAAATGAGAGATTCCACTTGGTTTTGTTACCGGCTGAATGGCTGTAAAATGATGACAACTTGCTGTCACTAACAAGCCGCAGGAAAACAGCCTGAGAATAAAGGAGCAGATTCCTTCATGCCCTCCCCTAGAATCGAGGGGTAAGGAAACGCTGGAATAACAACGGGGAAGATTCGGGATTTCAAACACAAGAAGCACCACAAAGGAATGTGCCAGAGAAGGGGGAGGGAAGGGAGGCACAATCCTGGTAAGAATACTCAAGTACAAATTGCTGCATTTAGGAAATAAGAAATTATGACAGCAGATGTGAAGAACCCTCCCCAAGGAGCTTCCTGTATTAAATGATGCACTCGCAAAGAAGTTCGAATAGGCAAGGTCAGAGATTTTAGGGGGGGCAAACTGTTCTAAGTGAACCTACTTCTGGTTTGAAGGAAACTATCAGAAACTGGTGACCTCTAGAAATATTCTCCAGTAAGATAAATAATTTATGATTCCACAGCTCTACATAAGGGGTTTGAACTACCTGCAAAACAGGAAGGGAAGGGAAGGGAAGGTTTGGGAAAGGAAGGTTTGGGAAGGGAAGGTTTGGGAAGGTTTGGGAAGGGAAGGCTTGGGAAGGGAAGGGAAGGCTTGGGAAGGGAAGGGAAGGCTTGGGAAGGG